AATAGAAGGAAGAGAGAGAGAGAGAGAGAGAGAGAAAGAATCAAATCAACTAAATTACTCAACGTGTCCGTCACGCAGCTACAATTGGCCATACTTTCTTAATTCAAATACATCAGTTGTGTTTTTATAAAAATTGATCCAAATCCAACGACTCCTCCCGCTCCAATTCTCTCACGGCTCTCTCTAAGGCAAACAGATGCTCGTCCTGCACGCCCGGTGCTATCGCGCGCATCGCGGACGCCAGTTTGTAGAGGTATTCCACGTTGGAGCCGCTGACGCCGCGCGAGACAATTATGTGCCTCGCGATGGTGTCTATGTTCTCCATACCGGCGAAATTTGGATTATCCTCTTCGCCTATGTAAATAGTGAGGTAGAACGGAGCCTCGTCCGAGGCGGTTGACAGCGACGACGCCGTCGAGAAGCTCGTCGTCCTCGCGAGGTCGTTCGAGGATGCGACATTGGGGTTCGAGGAGGAGCCACCGCTCTGGACAGACTTTGAGAAATCACAGGGGTAGAAGAGGACGGTTCTCTTTATGTAGCCGCCCTTCTCGCGGAAGTCCAAATGATTCACCACGTTTTCGATGTTCTCGGAGGAGATCTTGTACGCGAGCCCCCACACCTGGTCCGTGGGATTGGTCGAGGCGAGCAACGTCACCACGCGTCCAGGCTGCAAAAGAGAACACAACATCAGAACAAGAGATGCAGTTTTTTTTCACGCGAGAGAATTTAAAGCCACCTACAACTAGTGTGTCCGATGAATGCAATCCAATATTCGAATAAATGAATAAATAATGAATATGATCATATAATTATTATTCTCTATGTTCTTGTAAATTAAAAAGATACAGTAAAATCGAACAAAGCAATTTCGTTACGGATTATAATAATAGTAATGTTAATTCAGTAAGGGATTTTAAGTGCTTTAGCATCTGGTGGATGATAAATAAAATGATCATAAAAAGAATTATTGTTGCGAATAAAAAACTTTTGAATAAAAAATGTGATTTCTAAAATTTTTTTTTCAAATTTGCAAGTTTTTTTTATCAAATCTGGATATTAATAACGATATACAAAATTTATTTTTCACTTTCTTTTTTACTTTACATTTTGTCTGAAGAAATATGAATAAATCATAAAATAATCATAAAATATTCACGAATAAATATTTTTAAAAGGCCCACAAGTTTGAATAAATATTTAAATGAATATTTTTTTAATGTAAAAATTTTAAATTAATATAAATTGTAGTTTAGAGGAAAGGGATAGGAGATGTTTATTTTGTAAGGAAGGTATGGATAGTTTAGATCATTAAGGGAATGTAAGGAAATGTAAGGGTAAGAATGTAAGGGAATGTCAATACACAAAAAAATGGTTTGCAGAGCTGAGGAAGGATGGGGAAGAAGTTTTAGGATAAGGTCAGAAGTGCTGGATGAGGCGAAAGGAAAGATACTAACAAAATTGTGGAAGGAAAGAGAAAAAGAGATAAGGGAGAGAGAGAGAGAGAGAGAGAGAGAGAGAGAGAGAGAGAGAGAGAGAGAGAGAGAGAG